GAGATGGGGACAACAACGTGTCCCACAGCCTGTGCCCTCCATGGACCTCCATGGACCGGTGAGTGGTTCCTGGGCTGCTCCTGGGCCAGGTTCACCGTCCAAGGAGAAGGAGGTTTCTCAGCCTCCCCTACTCCAGGGTGAGGTGTCCCAGGAGGGGACAGGAGGTGGTGGCTCATCCCCTTCCCTGCCCTGTGGGGTCAGGAGGCAGGTTCTTGCTGCGGTGGCTCCTCCGCACGTGGCCTTGGAGCTCCAGCACGGTGGGATGGGGCACCCCCGGAGTTTGGAGGGGGAGAGGAGAAGAGGCCCGATGGTTTCAGAGCGGCAGCACTGGGATAAGAGGGAGAGAGAAGAGCCAGGGAGGTGGTTGGGGAGATGGAGAGCAGCTCCCTGGTCCCTAAGAGCAGGGGGGAGAGTATTTAAAGAGAAGGTGCGCACGGAGGTACGGAGCTGTGCACGGGTCCTTGGCTGGTTTGTCCCTGAAGCCAATCCTGGATGTCAGACCAACACCTCGCCACTGAAAAGCTGAAAGGACTGAGCCACCATGGCATGTGGCCACCCCCAGAACCCACCTCCCCTCCTTCTCCCAGCCCGGCCGCATCCTCTCCGGATCCTGCACTCAGGACCGGAGCAGCAGCTCTGGGCACGATGCTCCAGGGATGCTTATTGTTGACAGCAGGTGAAACACAGCCATGGGGACACACCTGGAGGTGGCCCAGGTCACCACCAGCCAGGGACAGGGTGGTGGTCTCCCATGGACACGTTGCTTCCAAGGGCAGAGCAGCTGGTGGGGCAAGACCCTCCACCACCGAGGACCAGAAAGGAGGTGCTGGAACTGCAGGAAGGGGACAAGAAGGGAAGGAGAAAAGGAATTGAAGTGGGAAGGGAGTAGGAGAGGTTGAAGAAGGTGCAGAGTCACGGCCACAGGGGGTGGCTACGGTGGATGAGGCTAATTCAGGAACTGGAGCTCCCCGCTCCTGCACTGGTCGTGGTTCTGGGTCCTTGGCTGGTTTGTCTCCGAAGCTGATGGTGGGGAGGGGAAGAGAAACACAACCCCAAATTCACCCCACGCTGGGGACGGGGCAGGTGGTTGGAAGCTCCAAGCCTTGAGAGGGCACCTCCAGGGAGCCCCAACGCCACGTTCCCATCAGCTGAGGGCTTCATGGGGGTAACTTTGTGCTCAGGATTTGGGTGGTTTGTTGGACTCTCACTCGGAGCTGAAAGGTTTTGTCTTGCAGATAAGAAGAGTAGGTTATTTTTTTTTAGCAAAATCTGAATATCACCGTGCAAGGAGGAGAGAGTGTGTGTGTGTGTGTGTGTGCACAGAGAGGCACGACTTGGGGTAGATTTTGAGAATGGGGGTAAATTATTGTGCATAAATGGCTGTGGGATTCCCACAGAGGAGTTTTGGGCTGGGAACATTTACACGTGTGTTGGTGTAAGTGTACACATGTGTTGGTGTAAGTGTACACATGTGTTGGTGTAAGTGTACACGTGTGTTGGTGTAAGTGTACACATGTGTTGGTGTAAGTGTACACATGTGTTGGTGTAAGTGTACACATGTGTTGGTGTAAGTGTACACATGTGTTGGTGTAAGTGTACACATGTGTTGGTGTAAGTGTACACATGTGTTGGTGTAAGTGTACACATGTGTTGGTGTAAGTGTACACGTGTGTGTGTGTAAGTGTACACATGTGTTGGTGTAAGCGCACACGTGTGTTGGTGTAAACACGCGAAGAAACAGCCACATACATTTGGGGGGGGGGCCCAATGGGGGGCTGTGCAGACGTTTCCATACACATTTATGGGGTTCCCTGCGTTTCTTGGGTAAAAGCACATCCAGGGCTTCGTTAAAGGGGGATGAGGACTAATTAACCCTGTCCCCCCCCCGTCCGTATCCGTTCAGTTTCCATCCCTCCCTCGTACGGCTCATTACGAGCTCGTCAGGCCTGAGAGGGGGAATGTGTTGGACATCCCTGCCTGGCTGCCTGCCCAGCCCTGCTGCTGCCTCTTCCAGCGGCAGCGGTT